GCCCGGTGCCTCCTCCCAGGTAATGGCAGCTGTATGGACCTGCATCTTCTTGGGTGGCGTTAGAGATGGAGAACTCGGCCCTGCTGCCACGCAGCTCCAGCGTACGGAGCTGGTGCCCGTCCTTGTACAGCACGAAGGTCCCAGTGGCACACTGGCACCTGCACCAGATGGTGGTGGAGCCTCCCGGCGGGATCACCCCTGGTGGCTTCGGGAAGATAGAGATGGTGAGGGCACCTGTACAGGGAGAGAGATGCTGCCAGACAGACAGACAAGGAGGTTCCCAGTGCCCAGCTGCCCTGTGGTGAGCCTGGAGCTCGCTCCAGGCCCAAACTCCAAAAAGGGACGAGTTTTGCTCTGTGGGGCTGGGGAAGAGCCCTTGGAGATGGGTGGGGGCCCAGAGATGTTTCCCAACTCCCCATCTACCTCCTCACGATACTCACTTGGTGTAGCCTGGCTCTGTGCCGCCAGCCAAGCGCCTGCAAGAGAAACAGCCGTGAAACATCTCTGTGGAGTCTGCGGATGCCTCCTGTCACCCTCTGGGACAGCCCCCATGGCCTCTGGCACTCACCGAAGGCTAGAACGTGGATCACAGGCAGTGTCATGTCCCTCCTGGTTCCCTCCGCCCTCGGCTCAAGCAGGGCTTCTTCAGAGGAAGGTGTTGGCCAGAGGCACCGAGCAGCCGGGTGACTTCTTGTGGGTTCGGGAATGCCCTCGTTGCCACAAGCCACCTTCTGTCCCACAGCTTGAGTTTCTGCAGGCACGATTGCAGGGCCAGGATGGTCAAACTGGAACCAGAATGTACCAGTCACTCGTCCGGAGCTGGGCACCCGTGACAGCCTGGTCTTAGGGTCCTGCAGACCTTAGGAGGGAAGTGATTGGGGTTTTTGTTTCTCTTTCTCGGCTCTGGTCACTCGAGGGGGAAATTGCTGTCTCTCAGCTCTTGCAAAATCAGATGATGTTTTGCAGCCAGGGTGGAGCAAAGACACAGCACAAGACTCTTTCTGAATCTCAGGGAGAAAGCTCTTGACAAAATGTAGTTTTATAAAATAGCTGTTTAAATAAGACAGAGGAAAACAGGGACTGTAGACAGCAAGTGTCAAAGAGTTTGGGCTTGGCCAATCAAACACTGACAGATGCTCTCTAATAAAACCTCTCCCACCCCAGACAAGGGAGGGAAAGTGAAGGAGGCAGGGACACTTATGGATTGGAAAAGAGAACTAAACCAGCTTTAATAAAACACTATTAATAAGGAAATAAGGAAATTATGAAATACATGCAAACAGAATATCAAAACCAACGGCCCCTGACAGCATTCCCAGAGATGCTGCAGAGCGGGCGGCACCAGGGCAGCCCCAGGCTCGGTGGCAGAGGGGAAGCGGGCACAGGGGCTGGAGTCGGGAACTCGGGATCAGGATAAAGGCAGAAGAATGGACGGAGCCCTCCTCAGACACCGGCCGCTGGAGAAAAGGCCACAGCCCCCCGATCCATCACCTTTATACTGAACGT